TGTGAGGAAATCTCAAGCGGGAGCGCCGATCCTGAGTAAATTGTAAGGAAATCTCAGACGGGAGGGGGGGGGGTCCTGAGTAAATTTTGAAGGGGTCTCAGGCGGGAACCGTTGTTGGGTCAGGGGCGCAGTTTGGCCACCAAGACTTCCCCTGTCCAAAAATAGGGTGCGAGCGTCGAGGGCCACACTTTGACTGAGAAAAACAGCATGCACCGGTGATGGGGGGATCAGCACTAGTTATTCTTCAGAAGCGAGAGCTCAACAACAACAACAACAACAACAACAACAACAACAACAACAACAACAGCAACAACAACAACAACAACAACAACAACAACAACAGCATCAACAACCACAACAGCAACAACAACAACAACAACAACCACAACAGCATCAGCAACAACAACAATAACAGCATCAACGCAACACACAGAATTCTCACCACGAATTTCCTATACAGCCACGCACGCAGGGACAATCAGTGACCGTTCGGCCCCGTCACTCTGACATAGATCGGTATATATATGTATATATATATATATATATATATATATGAGTGGGGGGTTCGCCCCCTGCCGCTGGCCCCCTCTCTCGGATAATGGGGTACGCAGGAGCTCAATTGTGAGGCCTGGGCGCCGTCGTGAAGCAGTGTCGGAACTCCGAACGGGGGGCACTGGACATATCCTGGTGCGCATTACCTAACTACCAATGAATATTGCTTCGGAGACGCGAGCGTTGGGTGATTTAAGATGAAGTATGGCCTATGGGAGCGCGAGCACAGCGTAGTTTGCTAGGGATTGTGGCCTCGGGGATGCGAGTATAATGCAATATACCCGGAATGATGGATCTGGAAGCGCGGATCACAAGTATTTTTATATGTCCCAGTACCCCTCACAAATTCTGAGACCCCTCCAGGTGAAGGTAACCAGGGCCCGTTTCGGCTCCCCCCCCTCGCGCGGACTTCAACAATTCACCCGAGGAAGCAGAACGCAGAATTGTAACATCGGGGACTGGAAACCGGAAGTGGAGCAGGGAGCAGCAAGCCTAATCCGTGGAGCCTGCTGGTCCCGCAAGGGGGCCGGCGGATCCGTATCCACCGCCGCTTGAGTCCCAGGGCGTCAGTCCCCCAGGCGGTGGACATGGCAGGAGCCCCGCCTCGCACCTGGGCCCACGGGCGGCTTCTGGCGAGGGGCCCGTGGCGAGGTGCGCGCTCCCTGCAGCCTTTGAGGCTCCAGTCGCCACTGGCGCGCGCGATGGACCCCGTGCCTCCGGCCGCGCCCCCGGCCGCGCCGGCACGGGGCCATGCCCCCCCGCCTCCGCCGGGCCCCGGGCCCCCGGAGATGGTGGCCCATCTGGGCGGCGCAAGGAACAGCTGCATGGCCGATTGCGCCGGGCGTCGCGCGGAAGCTGCCCGCGCACGTCGTGGGGCCTTATATACGGTGCGTCGGCCACTGGGTGTGGTGAGTCAGTGGGGATGTTGGGACGCCGCGCAGTTTTGGGACTGGGGATGTTCTCCGAGGATGTCTGGGGCGACTGGGGCTGCCAAGGTCCCACGACCGTGTGGTGACGGACCGTGTGGTGAGGTCTTTCGGGGTTCCGAGGTCACCGTGCGGTCCGTCACCGCAAAGTATTGGGGCCCTGAAGTGATGGTTCTCCACGCGGTTGGCCGCGCTGGCGGCCCGCGTCAGCCCACCTCGCAAGGCCGCCACGGCGTCGTGCTTCGCCGCGCGTAAGGCTATGACGGATTCCTTTGCGTCGCCCACCCCGAGAGCCAGAAAGCCACACAGACATAAGTTTTCCGTGACCTCCGCAAGCGTCTTTCCGACAACGGGCGAATTTCACAGACTGTGCCCATCCAGTCCTCCCAGATGGGATCCGAGCAGGTGGGGTCGGAGGATCGCGCCGCATCGCCCATACATCGGCGATGCATCGGCGACGCCTGCGATGCATCGGCGACGTCGGAGTGGAGGAGGTCGGGCTCCACATCGAGCCGCATCGCGGATGCATCGGCGGCGCGGCGCGGTCCTCCGACCCCCACCTTCTCGGATCCCATCTGGCATTACGATATCCCGGCCTACACTGGCCTTGACCACCAGAATTCCGAGCACCAGGGAAGTGCCGCAAGTGGAGGGATTTTTCACGTCTCGGGCCTTGGGGAGGCGATGGTCGTTCGACACTTCGCCGGCGTGTCGCACGCACACCGCGTTTCGATACCCTTCCGCGTGCTGGAAGCTAACTTTCTGGGATGGGGCCCTGCAGTGCGCCGGGGGGCAGCAGCAAAGCCAGGAGGCCTCCACAGGTCGCCCGCGACCAGGTCTGCGTGGCCCTCCCGCCCTCGGCCGTCGGGCCTCCTCCGCGGGCCGGCAGCGCCTGGAGCGGCCCGGCTCCGCGGGCTCCCTCGGGCCCGCGGCCGCCCCGCACCGGGCCGAGCGCGCCGGGCGGGAGGGCTACCCGCCGGCCCACCGCGGCCCGGAGCGCGCGGGCAGCCCCGCGCCCTCGCGGCCCGACGCGGGCGGCGGCCGGCGCCTCGGCCCCGAGGCCCGCTCCAGCAGCACGAGCGCGCTGCTGCCGGGGCGGCCCGGCAGCGCCGCGCGCGGCCTGCCGCGCCCGAGGGGCGGCAGCCTGGAGCCGCTGGCCCCCGTGCAGCCGCTCGGCCCCGGCGGCGCCGCCGGCCGGGGCCCCGGGCGCGCCTCCACGCCGAGGGAGCGCAGCGGGCCGGGCCTCGCGCTGGCGCCGCTGGGCGGCAGCCGGCCCGCCAGCGGCGCCAGCCAGAGGAGCGGGGGGGCGCGGGGCGACAGCGTGGAGCGAGCGCCCTCGGCCTCGCCGCCCAGCGGCGGGTCCGGGGGCAGGCTGGCGCCCCTGGAGGGCGCGGTGCGCAGCTCGCCCTCCGTCCCTCCGCCGCCGCCCTCGCTTGTCTCGGCTGCGGGCGTGACCATAGAGAGGTTCAAGAAGGCGGCCGGTCCCGAAGCGGACACCGCGCGGGGTCCTGTGAAGTGGGTGCCCCACACGCACGCGAACCCGAAGCATGCCAAGTTCTGTTTCATCTGCCTGCACGGCAGGCTGGAGGGAAGGGGTGACCTTGCGCCGAAGGATGTCGCCACGTCTCAAGTCCCTGGCGACCAGCCTAAGGACGACCTGCCCCCGCTGGAGGAGATGAGGGAGCTCGGGTATTTGTTGAGCGGACGCTTCCGCAGGGCTGGGGCCAGCTTCTCGGCGATCAACGTTGTCGCCCTGTGGCTGAGAAGTGTACACGACAGAGTGTTCGACGCGTGCGTTCGCAACATGTTGGTTGAGCATAACAACCGCGTCAATCGCGGCCTGGATGTCCATCTAGTCGTCGAGAAGGAGGACGCCGAGGATCTCGACCAGCTCACGAGGCTGTTCAGCTTCAGCTCGGAGGAGCAGGCCGAACAGCAAGGCAGGCTCCGCAGCCTTGCCGACTGGTGCGCTGGCCACGAGGCCCGGCTCATGGATCTGCCCCTGCCAGCCGTCAAGGTCCACAAGCTGCCAGCCGTGGAACCGCCCCCCAGTCAGGCGCAGCTGAACGTGCTGAAGTACCGACCGCTCGTCGACGTGGACCACCTCAAGGGGGCATCGGCGCCCGCCACGAGGGCGGCGGCGCGTGCTGCAGACGTAGGGGGCCTCGAGGGCGTGCCTGACGTCAGAGTGCTACCCCACCCGCTGACGAGCGCCGATGCGCCCGAGGTGCAAATTGTAGAGTACCCCGTCTCCCTCAGAGATGTCCCCAAATTTGAGCCGCTGCAGCCGCAGGCTGTCAGGCGGCAACCGGTCGACGCGTCGCTGGACCCCTTCGAACGGCCTTTTCTCCACCTGCCCGTCTTCGAGGAGAGCGTTATGCCAGAGTTCCCAGACGTCGTCACGCTGCATCGCCCCAGGCCAGCGCGCCCGGCCCGAGTGGAGGAGGCCTGCCTGTCCCTGACCGAGAGCATCTTCCCGGAGAACAACGCCGAGCGGAGCGAGGACAACAGGTGGGGGCTGGTGCCGGCGCGGCAGGTGCCGTGTGCCTCCCTGGTCGAGCAGTCCATCCAGCCGTCGAGCGGCCTGATAGGCCCCCCGGGCCGCAAGCAGCTCGTGATGCGGACGCTGTGGGACCCCAGCCTCTTCACCGCCGAGGGCACCCTGGTGCCGCCGCTGCAGGACCGCGCGGAGCGGCTGCACGCCGCAAGCGTTTGGGCGCACCCCGACGAGAGCCGCTGGACCAGGCTGCTGTCGCCCGCTCCGCCGCGATCCAAGAGGATCCAGGAGACCGTCAGCCTCGTGCCTGTGAAGTCCTATGCGAAGTTCCGGCCGAACAAGGTGCTGCCGCAGTTCCCGGACTTTATCTGGCCTCTCGTGCTGCAGGACTCCGCCGGGCAAGGCTTCTTCGACGTCCTGACGCAGCGACACGCCGTGACGAGGGAGATCTTGCATATGCAGCGGGTCCAGGAGGAGGAGAGGAGTCGCATGGAGAAGTTGCGGCAAGGCCAGATGGAGCGCGTGGTGTCAGGCGATGGCGGCGGCGACGTCTGGGGCGAGGCCCTCGAGGCAGCAGAGATCGACGACGGACGGGTGCCTCGATGCCTGGGGCCCGCCCTCGACGACGCGGCCAGCTCCCCCCGCCAGGCGCCGCTTGCAGGGCAGCAGCCGCCCGGGCACCCTGCCAGGCCGCGGCGGCCGGCGTCGCCAGGGCCTGCCCCTGCCCCGAGCGAGGCCGTGGTGAGGCCCGGGAGCGAGAGCCTGCCGGCCGTGGAGGCGGAGGCGCCCGCCACGCCCGGGGCGGGCCCGCCGCCGCCGCCGCACGGCGGCCTGGCCGGCAGGGCGCCCGAGGGCACGGGCCCGTCCTCCTCCTCCTCCTCCTCCTCCCTCCTCCTCCTCCTCCTCCTCCTCCTCCTCCTCCCCCTCCTCCTCCTCCTCCTCCTCCTTCTCCTCCTCCTCCTCCTCCTCTTCCTCCTCCTCCTTCTCCTCCTCTTCCTCCTCCTTCTCCTTCTCCTCCTCGGCAGGCAGGCGCAGGGTGGAGCAGCGAGGCCGCGCGTCGCTGCCGTCGGCAGCGCAGGGCGAGGACGTGGCCTCGGCTGCGGGCGCCAGCGCCGACCAGACCGCGCGAGGGCCTCCGTCCCAGCAGCCCGCCGCGAGCGGCACGCAGCAGGTCGCCCTGCTGGATCCCAGCACCGTCGCGGAGAGCCATCTGGCGCTGGAGGTGCACAGGCAGCGGCTCCAGATGGCTGGCACGCCGCAGGGCGGCGGCGGTCGGCCAGTCGAGGAGATGCTGGTCGACGACAAGTTCCTCGACACCCTCGCCGACAAGATCACCATGCGGCTTGGAGGAGCCGCCCCCGCGCAGCCGCACCCGATGGGCGCGATCGTCCGCCCGGACCTTCCGTCGTTTGCGGAGCCCGAGGACAGGCAGAGCGGCGTGCGGCTCCCCGCGGCGCTGGCGGGGGGGCCGGGGCGCACGGGGCCCGGCAGGGCAGCGGCGGCCGTCTCGACGACCTGCAGCGACGTGGACCACTTCACCCAGGAGAAGATGCGGGGCGAGGCCTACGTGCGGCTGCTGATATGCCCGGAGTCCAGTGCGGCCAGGAAGGAGCCCTCCGCGTACGTGGGGGAGCAGCTGGCGCCAGACGTCGCGATAGTCTCAGGAGGCGCTGGGCCGCAGCTGGTCATGCCATCGCAGCCGAGGGTGAATGAACACGGGGAGCTGGAAGAGGAAGACGAGTTCAATGACTTCGAGCGCAACGATGTGGTCGTCTTCTCGCTCGTGAGGCACAACCGCTTCGAGTCCATTGAGTCGATCCTTCAGCAAGATCCCACCGTCCTCGGGAGCACCGATGAGCGCGGCAATGGCTTGCTCCATATCGCATGCCAGAATAACAACAAGCGTGTTGCGAAGCTCTTGGTCAAGAGCAGGATCGACGTCAACCACCAGAACCGAGCGGGGAACACGCCGCTGCACTATTGCTCGTCCTACGGGTTCATGCAGCTCGCAACTTTTCTCATCTCCCAGGGCGCCGATGAAACCGTGGTCAACGCCTCCGGCCAACTAGCCACGGACGGTCTCGGCAGAGAGGAGGGTGGTGACGTAGCCGTCGCGCAGAAGCATTTGCAGAACGGGCTGCTCTGAGCGGATGCGTGACGCGGGTGCCACTGGGGTGGGAAAACATGGCCCATCATGAATCATGACAGATCTTCGGATTGCACTTCCCGGGGCCCCTCGGGGCATCGCCAGCCAACCATAGGCGCCCCTCCCCTGCACGTTCGGAGAACTCTCGAACGAGCATCGCAGACGGCGGCCAACAGCGACACGACACAGCGGGGCATCGATCGATCCAGCCAGGATCTTTCCCACGCCTCGACTCTTGCTTTTCGCTGGCGCTCTCCACTGTCTTTCCTCGCCGTGGGACCGCCCCGCCCCCACCCCGCGCGATGAAGGAGCGCGTGGAGGGAGGAGGAGGAGCCATGGAAAATGTGTCTTTCCTTGGTAAGACTTCAGACACTGGTTGATGGCCTTATTTATCGGGCCCGCAGCGCGGGAGTCACGGCTTGCCCACATGGTGAAACGCGAACGCCAAACCACGACTCTCTGATTCTTCGTGGGACGGTTTGTTGGCGTTCGCGCGGCAGTGTTGGTGGACGTTTGGGGAGTTTCTTTGGTGATGTTGGGCTTCTCATAGGTCTTTCCAGGGTACTGGGGCCATCTTGGAGAGGTCCTGGACGTTTTGGAGCTACCTTGGTGCCGTCGTCTTGGAGGCCAGCTGGGGGCTGTAGAGGTCCATCGCAGAGTCAACTCTGGCCTCTTGGACTCTCTTGGAGGCATCTTGGTCTTGGCGTGCTTCAGTGATCCTGCAAGCCGTTTTGGAAGATCATGGGGACGTCTGCGAGTCTTTGGGAGTCATCTTGAATCAGCTTTTGACTCGCGGGTGCCAGATCAATAGCTTGTAGTACAAGGGCCTCTGGCCCTAAGATAGTGGATCCATGTTTTCGATCGATTGACCGTTGCCCCTGGAGCGCAGATCCATTGCATCCTCGCGCTTCCCGTGAGAGTGGTCGCGCGGAACCCCTGCCGTACTCAATCAGCCCGCGGAGCCCGCGGTGAGCACCCCCCCGTACTGCCCCAGCCGCCCCGTGCCAGCAAGCAGCCTGCCAGCGCCCCACCCCCCCATGCTAGCAACCAGCCTGCCCAGCAGCCAGGCTACCCAGCCTACCCAGCCTACCCATCACACGGGTTGACGGAGTTGCTCGACGCACTGAGGCCAGCAGAGAGAGCCGTGCGCAGTGCAGGACAGTTCACCTTAAAGTTGGCGGGATCGCCGCGGTGCGGCGGGGCACCGCGCTGATCCTGCAGTCGCGTGCGGCCCCGCGGCCATCCCAGGCCTCGCGATGGCCCAGGCCCAGGAGGAAAAGAAACACACAGACACAACTCATCCTCGATTCCCCAGAAAATATGGGAAAATATGGGAAGTGGGGGGGAAGACAGAAACCCAGAAAATATATGAAAATATGGGGAACATGTTTATTTGTGTGTAAATACTTGTGTGTCCTGGGGCCCCTTCACAGGCCCTCGAGGAGCGTGCTCGACCCCATGCGCAGCCGCGAGACCGAGCTCGGCGCGCCACCCGGCCGAGCGCCAGAGGCTGGCGATCGGCATCCGCCCGGTCTCGAGCTCGCGTTGGGCAGGCGAGGCGGACAGCATAACACGACGCGAAGATCGGGACAAAATCGGATCGGGATAATTCGAAATCTCTCAGAATCGGCGGGTTTGGAGGATGTATGGGGCGCCGCGGCCGCTCCAGAGCGTTCCGGAACGCTCTGAGAGCGCTCCGGAACGCTCTGGAGCGATTTATCCCGATCCTAGCCCTGTTTTACGATGATGCAAGCGGCCGAGCATGTCGGCAACGCCGAGCTTGCCTCAGAGGAGTTGCAGTTCCTTCAGCGGCATCACCATCGCCTGCCTGCCAGACGGCCAGGAGCAGGCAGCATTCTGAGCTCGCGGCCTGCAGCCAAACGAGGCGCACCAGGCCTGGTGCGCCAGTCTCATGTCCTGTGCTGGACAGCTGTTGCATTGGCCCGTCAATCGCCCTTGCGTTACAAGTGCCAGGATGCTTGCAACTTGAGGTTGCGGTCGATCCTTGTGAGCCTGCGTCAAGCAGTCGAGGCTTCGAAAGCCGCCGCTGCAGTAGCAAGTCAGCTTGCTGCCGTGGCTCAAGCTTTGGGCGGCGCTCAGCAGCACGTTGGCTCCAACGGCGATGAGTCCATCTTCGCGATCGAACCAGCCAGGCGCACGGCCAGCGAGGCTGTCGATTGTGAAGTGCTAGCGCTCGAGCCTTGAGTCTCTGATTTTTAGAGCCTGGCCATCTTTCGGATCCAAGCCAGGCTGGTGGCCGGAGATGTAGCTCGACAGCTCAGCATCATCGTCCAGCTAAGTGTTCGCGTCGCACGTCTGGCAGCTGCCAGCGGATAGCGTCAGGCGACACACGCCACTTGCGGCATCGTGGAACTGCAGGCTGGCGATGATCGAGGGCGGTGCTTCGACCATGCCGTCAAGGGTCGCAACCGCGAGATTGACATCCCCGGCAACGAACAGCCCGCATAATGCTCTTGGGCCGTCGGGTGCCAGCGGGGACCATCTTGGGGGCCTCCCTGGACCGTGCTCGGGCCCTTGAAAGCCATTTTGGATACCTCATTGGCCGTCTTGGGGCTATCTTGGGCTCTCTTCGGGCCGTCTTGGGGGCCATGTTGCCGCCCTCTTGGGTCGCCTTGGAGCCCGCTCACAGGCCTCTTGGGGACTGGGGGCCATGATGGAGGTCTCTTGGCCCGTCTTGAGTTTTTCGCTCCATGAGAACGCGAGATCGCGAAAATCTCCGTCTAAACGCAGACGGTGAATCAATCATGCTGTCCTCTTCGGGCCCTCTGGAGGTCCTCTCTGAGATCTGTTGGGGCGTCTCGGAGGCTTCTGGGGCCGTCTTGAGTCGGTCTTGGGCCGTCGTGATGCCAGTTTGGGGCGTTTGTTTCGGACCGTCTCGGGCGAACTTGAGGCCTCGCCGGGCCTACTGGGCCAGCTTGGAAGGCATCCGGGACGGTCTTCGGCCGTCTTGGAGGCCGTGCTGGGAGCCGCCGTGCGCCGTCGCGGCCGTCTCGGAGGTGGGGTTCCTGGGCAGGCAGGGCTCTTTCCAGACGTGATCGTGGCGTACCTTTCCGGGTGGCTGGCGGGTCGTGCCGACGGCCACCCGATGCTCAGAGCGTGAATTACCTACCCCGCTTTCGCTTCCAGGCAGAACCAAGTCATAGCACGCGCCTCCTCGTCAAGCGGCCTGACCAGTACAGGCCGTAGTTTGGCATCGCTTGGTATCTCTTGGAAACGGGGGTGGTCAAAAGCGAGGTAGGTTTGTTTGCCCCCTAGATACCTGAGAGCCTGGGAGGGCGGAAGTGTGGCACGCTCGGCACTGCGGTTGCAGGCAAAAGCGGGGGCGGCGGGCCTCGTGGCTTTCGGCAGATCCCCCGACCGTGCCGGGTCGCGGACAAGCGGCCCGCTGGGGTCTCTTTGGGAGCCTCTTGGGAGGCCTCTAGGGGGCTTCTGCTCAGCGGAGGAGGTGGAAGGAGGAGGAAGAGTAGGAGCAGGCCGAGGAGGAGGAGGAGGAGGAGGAGGAGGACGAACCTCGAGGATCGAGGGCGGGGATCGAGGTTATGAATTTGCTTATGCCTCCAGAGGGTACGAGAAGGAACGTGGAACGCAGCAGTCTCGTCGTTCATGTTTGCCTAATGTAAATGAGGACGAGGAGGGATGAGGAAGGAGGAGGAAGGAGGAAGGAGGAGGAAGGAGTGAGGAGGAGCATTATAAATTGTTTGACAAGTGGATAGTCTCGCCTATGATGGTTCTCACCTTAGGTGTCCTGGTTTGAAAAGGTGGAGGCACGTTTCGGACCCCTCCCCGCGGCCGTCTTCGGTGGCCGAGGGGCCGCAGGGAGGTCCTCAGCCCCCTCCAGGGCCTATCGACGGCATGGTGTATTGGCGTCTTGGTAAATTTGTGTGCAAGGGCCCCCAAGCAGCCCCTACGAGGGCAGCTGCGAGGGATATGATGCCTATGATGCCTATGATGGTCCTCACTGATGAGTCCTATGATGGTTCTCACCAGGATCGTGGAGAGAGGGAGAGAGAAAGAGAGAGAGAGAGAGAGAGAGAGAGAAAAAGAGAGCGAGAAAGAGAGAGAGAGAGCAGCAGGTATGTCGTTAGCGTCGAAGGCCATCCCGAAGAACTCGGATCCCGAAACAGGAAATTCTATCCGGAGGAAGCCTGGAAAGGATGGACTTGAAGGGAGGATGGGCCCAGGGGTGGGTGCGTCTACCAGGTCGCATACGCCCAGGGGGGAGGTTTGTCCCGGGAGGGTGGGCAAAGTCCATACAGTTTAGTTTCAAAGAGAGAGAGAGAGAGAGAGAGAGAGAGAGAGAGAGCGACAGAGACAGAGACAGAGAGAGAGAGAGAGAGTGACGGGGGGTGTGCGTCTACTAGGTCGCATAGGCCCAGGGGGGGAGGTTGGTCACGGGAGGGTGAGCAAAGTCCATACAGTTTAGTTTGAAAGAGAGAGAGTGAGAGAGAGAGAAGAGAAAGGGTGAGAGAGAGAGGGAGAAGGAGAAGGATGAGAGAAATGCATTGGGAGCGTGCGGCGGCAGGAGTGCACCACTGGAGCTCCTGCACGAGACGAGGTGACCTTTCGGAGGCCCCTGGGGGCCTACAGAGGTCACTGGCCCGAGGTTCCCACAGCTCGCTTTGTCCCCCTTTCAGCGGTCGTGGCGCAGTCGGTGGGTGCGCCGTCTCGGGTGACGAGCATCGGTCCCGACAGGGAGTATTTGAAGAAGGGGCGGCGAACCACTTGGGAAACAGAAATGAACAGGAAGAGAAAAAGTGGGGAAGGGAAAGATGGGGGGGAGGCGGGGAAAGGCGGAGCTGGGGGGGGTCAAACGGGAGGGGCGGGGCGGGGCAGGGGGCGGTGGAAGTTGAGGACAAGCAGAGCCGCGCCTGGAAGGCGGAAGGGAGGAGCAGTGAGTGATCGTTTCTGGAAGCATGTTTCATAATGTCTAAGGTCCTTCGAGCGCCGCTAAGTGGGTACACGCGCGCTGTAGCTACCGCCGTCTGTGCCTAAGCCTTGGCTTCCACGGCCCTTGCCCGGAGAGACCCCTGGCTTCCACAGGGCATGTTGATTGGGGTTTGCGGCCCGTCCCCGATCTGCGGAGCCTGGCGAAACTGGCATCGAGGTATGTACGGGCATAGGCCCTGGGGTAGCGGGGGAGGGGCCAGATCCTCCCCCAAGGCCACATGGAGCCTGACGGGACCGTGGCCTGGGCAAGGGGTGCGCCACTGATTGGTCGGGCGTCGCATGAGCGACATGGAGGCCTGACGGAACACCATGGTACGGACGACGCTGAGCGCCCCTTGGTTCCAGGCTCGGGCGGGAGGCGCAGCGACGCCGCATGAGTGGTATGGAGGCCGGACGGAACACCATGGCAGGGACGACGCCCAGCGTCCCTTGATACATTGGTGCCGTTTTCGCGAATGATGCCTTAATGTTTCGGTTCATGGTCTATTGACATTGGCAGGCACCGTCAGCCAGCATGGGATAAATTCCGATCACGGCCCCAGGGAGGAACATGATGAATCGGTTGATTGGCGGATGGCATGGCATATGATGGGCCTCACCTTGGTGTACTGGTCTGAAAGATGGAGGTACGTTTTGGACCCTTCCCCACGGCCGTCTTCGATGGCCGAGGGGCCGCGGGGGGGTTCTCGGCCCCCTACAGTCCCTGACGGCATGGTATACTTGCGTATTTGTGGAATGGTGGGAAAGGCAGGCCCCTAGCAGCCCCCATGATGGCAGCTGCCAGGGAGGGAGGAGAGGAGGGAGAAGGAGGAAGAGAAGGGGTAAGAGACGGCGGAGGAGGTGGAATAAGTACAAAGTAGGAGGAAGGAGGGAGGAGGAGAAGGAGAGGAGCAGGAAAACGATTGAGAAGGAAGGGAGGAGCTGGAAAAGGGAGATCCAGTTGAGCCACATCATGGATGAGCGCCACGTTGTCGTGGGCGTACAGAAGCTCGAGCGCTGAACCCTGGACCTTTCAAGCCCCTCATGGGTTCGAGGACTTGAGGTAATATGGCTCGACCATTGAATGTGGGGGAGGGGGGAAGAGACCAGGGCAGGGAGGAGGAGGGGGATGAGGGAGGAGGAGGAGGAGGAGGAGGAGGAGGAGGAAAGCTGGAGTTGAAGGTGGTGGGAGGAGGAGGAGGAGGGAGCAGAAGGAGGCCCATGAGAACGAGGAGGAGGGATGTGGGCCGATTCCAGCCGCCGAACTTCGAACCCTCGCAGGGGGGCCCTGCCAGACCCTCGGCGCCGCGCGCGCGCCCGCGCGCCGTCGGCGCGAGGACCCTGGAAGGCTTCCTCTGCGCCGCTGCGGGGGTGCAGAACCGCGCCGCGTTCACGGGATGTGCCGGCCTCGGCTGGTCTCCTGGGCCCCCCCACCCCCTGAAGGGAGGAGGAGGCAGGGGTGGAAGGAGGCTGGGGGAAGAAGCTTAACATGGAGGAGGAGGAGGAGGTGGAGGAGGAAAAGGAGGAGGTGGAGGAGGAAAAGGAGGAGGAGGAGGAGGAGGAGGAGGGGGAGCCCTGGCCAGCTGGGGCAAGGGCCGCGGCGATGGCCCACCACGTGGAGGAGCAGGACCGCGCGTGCGGGTCAAGTCGATCTGCGCACTCCAGCGCACAGTTCGTCACGCTGCACTTCGCCGATGGCGGCATCGAGGTGGGCAACATCGTCGTTCGCGACGAGTCCTGCCCGAGCTGGCAGGGTCGCCGTCGCGCAGGATGGGTCCCAAATAGATACTAACCGGGGCCATCCTGTTCCAGGATTATTGACCCGGGTTCATTATGTCTCCCCTGGAACATTATGACCTTGGGTTTCAATGTTTTGGGAATTTCGATAGGGGTTCATGATGTTCCCCCCGGAACATTATAAATCTTGGTTTGTAATGTTCTGGGGAGATCGACCCCGCAAACAAATTCATCTGGGTCCATAATGTTCCGGGAATATTGACTGGGGTTTACAAGCTCCCGGAAATAATGAACCGGGTTGTCGTTATTCCGGAATGATATAAAGTTTACTATTTCCCCCCAACCTCCAGGTTCCCCACCCGGTTTTCATGTCGGAATACTGACACCGTTTCATTCACTCCAGGAGATAATAAACCCTGATTCATAATGTTCTCCGAATATGGACCCTTGGTCAAGTATTCTGGAATGATAATGATTGAGCCTGGGGGTCGCCGTTTGAGAGTACGTTCTGGACTGAAAAAAACTTTGGTCCATAATGTTGGAATATTAAACTTGGGTTGAATATTCCAGAAAGATAATCATTCGGCCAGGGGGGCTGAACCCGATCCATTCACAAGACAATAATCCATAGGGTATCATCTGAAGATAACGAACCTAGGTTTTCATTCGTAGATAGTCAACCACGGTCGACGAGGATTTCGGAGGTGACCTCCCGTCGCGGCGCCGGGATCGAGGGGGTCCTGGTCGGCTCCGAGCGCCCAGGCGCCGAGGAACTCCTCAGTGGGAAGATCGACGGCGAGGGCGGCGGCATCGTTTTGCACGCCTGCGAGTCGGATGACCGCGAGTGCGTGGATGGCTCGTCCTGTACGTCCGATTGTTCCGCGTCCTCGACGGGGCCGCCGACGAGAACCAGGTCGTGGCGGCCGACAGCGGCGCGCGCGTGGGCGAAGGCGAGGACGCGGCGGAGGACGCCCCGTCGGGGCGAGGTTGTGGAGCCAACCGCGGGGGGACGGACCGCCGCCCTCTGGCTGGGGGCGGAGGCGCACCTAGGGGTAAAGCACAGCGGGGCTCTCAAGGCTGTGGACGCCCCCTCAGGTGGCGGAGCCAGTGGCGATGCTGACGATTCGATGCTTTTTCGCGTCGCCCCGGCCCGCGGCACGGACGACGACTTTGTCCAGTTCGCGCGAGCAATTCCAGGGCAAGTGCTCGGTCGAGTAGGTCGATCGCTACCTGGCCGCGCGGGAAGGGGCGGACACTTCGAAGAGCGCGGACGTCAAGGCACCCCGCTTCGCGACGCACCTGACGACGACATTCCACGCCGCATATCCGCCCGCGGAGGCAGGCGAGAGGGCAACCACAGAGCTCTGGATTATCGCGGGGGCGCTGGACGCGATCACGCGGGGCGACCTCGCGAGGGCGGGCGACGTCCCCTCGCAGCGCTTCAAGAGCGCGGAGATGCAGGCTTCCGGCTCCTCGGGCACGCTGGCGCGCTGGCGAGGCAGCGCGAACTCACGCCCCCGCCGCGAGTTGGTCTGACTCGCGAGGGCGAGAGGTCGCTGCCAAGAACGAGGTTCTCCGCGCCAGGCTCGACGAGATCGCCAGGGTGCCTCCGCGAGCCGCCGGCGTCATTCGACTGACGAAGGACGCGGAGACGGCGATGGGCTTTCGTGCCGACGCCAAGGCCGGCCAGGGCCCCGAGCCTGGCCACGCAGCCGCAGCCGCCGCCAGCAACGTCGCCTTTCCCGGCGCGGGCGGACGAAGCGCCAGCTCAAGTTCGCCGAGCGGAAGCAGAAGCTCGCAGTCATCAAGCGGGCCGAGCGCGAGCGGAAGCGCGCCTGGGCACCTGGACATCGCGCGCCAGGGGCGCCGGCCGCGAACCTGGGGCCCCAACCCGATGGGGGCGACGGGCAGTCGCCAGGGCGCCGCGGCGGGAGCTGCCCGCGGAGCCGAGAGTGCCCTGAGGGTTTTCTTCGCGCGCGATCTTCCTCGCGCGCGTCCTCCAGCGGCGGCTTTGGCGAGGCCGACCTGCGGGCGGGCTCCTTGGCAGCGTGGCCGGGGCCCCATGAGGGGAGGGCGCGGCGGGGGCCATCTTCGCTAGAAGGGCTTCCGCGGGAGCGGGCGCGGGCATCGTTGAGCCGCCGCCCCCCCGATCTCGGGAAGCGGCTTGAGGCCCGCCGGCGTCGATCGGCAGATGCACTCGAGCACTTGCGCGGCCCTGGCTTCGCGATTGTGAAGGCAGGCGCCCAGACTTTCTTACGGCGCTGCTATATGCGGACTCGCCGATCGGCGAGCACACGCGCGATTTGCCGCGCAGCGCGCGCCAGTCCCACGCGGGGGCCGCGCCTGCCTCGAGAACCGCGCGGTGCTATCTCCGCACAGGGGCGACTGGGCCGCGCTGCGTATTGCGAGTTCTGCGGGTGCTCGGGCGCGCCTGCGGGTGGCGCTCGCCAATTAGCTTTCTTACGGCGTGGGTCGGCTCGCAAGGAAGGCCCCCCCTCCGGGGGAAGGGGTGGGGGGGGCGACCCGGGCGCGGCAGGCGGCGACGGCGAATTTCGAGCAGGCGGCAATGTACCTGGTGGGGCGGGCGGGGTCTGACAGCGCCCGCGCCCGCGCCGAGCGGCCCGACGTCGCTCGCCCCATTCCGGCGGGGCGCCCCGGAGCCCCGCGAAGCGGGCGCCAGCCCGGATCATGCCAGGGCCGCCTCCGCGAGAGCACCGCGGGCGACTCCGGGCAGTTGATTTCTGTTCGGCCGAGGTTTGCCGCGCCTTGGGGCGCAGCGGCCTGACATAAAGCCGCGCCGGGCGCGCGCGGAGTCGGACGAGGAGCGGGGTCACGTCACCCGGGCTCTCCTTGAACGCGGGGTGCTCGCGCCTATCGATTGCGGCAGTTTCCAGGAAACCAAGGGCCGCAAGCTCTTGAACGGGGCTTTTGGGGTTCCGAAAACGGGCGACGCGCCCGCGGGGCGCGACTGCCAGCTCCGATTCATAGCGAACCTGTCGCCCAGCAGCTGTGGACAGTGCCTCATTGCTGGGGGCTTGGACACATTGCCGTTGCCTGGCGAGCGCGGGCAGGTGGTCCTCGAGGACGGAGGCGCCCTGGCGCTCTCATGCGACGACATGTCCGGTTGCTCCCACCTGCGCACGCTGCCGGTGAGTTGTCAGAGGCATTCCGCCTTCTCGAAGCCTCGGCTGCTGCCCGACGGCACCGAGCAGTGCGTCGCTGTTCGGGCCACCCCGATGGGGCGATTATCGGCGGCCGGGGGGTGCAACATTTCCACCGCCGCGTCGCTGGGCAGGGGCTCCGCGGGAGCGCGCAGCTCTCGGCAGATGCGGCGGGGCGCGCGCGGCGTCGGCCCTTCCCAGCCACGCGGAGATCCGGCAGCGCCCAGGGCGAAAGCGCGCGGCAAGAGGAGCGCTGCTGGCGGAGCCCTTTGTGTCGACGATTCCGACATCGCGGAGATGTTTTCCAAAAAACTCGCAATTGAGCTTGGGGGTGATCTCGAAGCGGCGCCAGCAGCTCGGAGATGCGCCGTTGGCGCATTCGACCCCGACCGCCGCGGGGAAAGGCACAGCGCGCGCGCCGCGCGCGGTCCGCAAGGGCCTCCTCGTCGACGGGGTCGCCGGCAAGGCTTCGGCACCCATTGCCGAGCTCCTCAGGCATATCAGCGTCGCCGCTTAGGCGCTGGGTGGCGCGCATCGCGAAGAGAACGATTCGTCGGTCGCTGGGTCGGCGACTTCACGCGCCGCTGGCCTCTCTTCGTCTCCCTCGACGACGTCTGGAGGTTCATCGAGAACTGGCTGGGCGCGCGCGGCGGCCCCATCGAGCTCCCGCGGGCGATCAAGCGGGGACTGATCCACTGCTGCATGGCTGCCCCCATCGTGGCGACGGAAATGCGGGCCCCCCTTGGATTGCGAGCCCCTCGCCACGGACGCGAGTGAGAGCAGGGGGGGCGCCGGCGCGGGATGCGCCCTCACGGCAGGGGGGGCGTCTGGCGCGGACGCGCTCGCGGGCGCGACGGCGGTTGCCTCGAGCGCGGCGCGGTCGCGCTCGAGGTCAGGCCCGGCGGCGGCGCCGTCCGCCCCGCTGTCCACCGGCTCAGCCTCGGCGTCAGCGCTGGCGTTCACTACTTTGATGAACGGCAGATTATATCTTAGATATAAGTTGAGGACGTGAGTTACTAACCGACTTAGGCGACTTACGAAGTCGAGTTATAAGTCGACTTAGGCCGACTTAGCATAACCGACTTAGGTGATCGATTTAGGTCAGCTTATAAGTTGAGTTATAACCTAAAAGCTAAGTCGACAGCCGACTTATAAGTCGACTTATAAGTCGAATTATAACTCGAAGTTGTCGACTTAGTAAGTCGAACTTCTTCGACTTACTAAGTCGAACTATTTCGACTTACTAAGTCGAACTATTTCGACTTACTAAGTCGAATTAGCCCCGAGTTAGTATGTCCAAAGTAAATCCTCGATGTGTGGTTTTCTATATATTCATCATGGGATTCAGTCATATACTACAGCGTTTCACACATACGCTTACATATGATCATTTTCGTACACACATAGTTTTGCACATATGCGCGTGTAAGGTGTGTTCACGCATTGCGATGTAGATAACGCGCGCGCACGTACACATGCGCATGTATGCACATGCACAATC